TTCAGCTAAAATAATGTTTTTCGGAATAATAAAACCAAAAGATGGTATGATGGCATGTTTTACTTGTAACTTACAAGAAGAGGTTACAAAGTATGCGTTGGAAACATAAAACCTGTAAATTTTGCTTTCTATGAGTCACAATCAGCGATTTGCTGATCGCTGAGTGAGTGAGTGAGTGAGTGAGTGAGTGAGTGAGTGAGTTTGTGAAAAATCGCTGATTGTGACTCTCATGCAGTGAAATAAACAGGTTTAATATGTCAAACACATTCTTTGCAACCTCTTCTTGTATCCTACCAATTCAAAATTTGATCATGGCATCTAATTATTTCATAATTTAGAAAAACATTGTTTTAGCTGAAATGAGTCTTTCCAACCTTGCCCAGAACAACACTGTTGGTGTTGAGTACTTGGCGCTGATGAACTCTGCAAGTAGTAGACGAAATACGGGTATCTATTAAAAGATAAGCAATTATAACGGATTTAAAAGGAAATAAACCAAAATAATACATTACATTATAGACAATAATTCCGTATATAAACCAAAGCATTTCAATAATAAAGCAGATACTTTAGATCAAATAATCACTTTGAATTGCGATCCTTTCCTGCCCAACTTGGGATACACAGGTTTGGACACCGCTAAAAGGAAAAGAAATTCCCCAAGGTTCTGCGATCCTCTTCTGCCCTCTGGGATAAACAAATGAGGACACCGCATCCATTCCTTGATTATGCCACGAGCCTGCATACATATAAAAAGGGCATAATAAGATATTGTCGAAGTTACCAACGAGGAACTCGCAGCAGTGGTTAAAGGATTGAAAGTGAAGACAGCTCCTGGTCCGGATGGAATTTCCAACGTGGCATACAAATTGGCGATCCAGGCGTCCCCGTACATGTGGTGATGGTGCTGCAGAAATACAGAAGCTAGTGTTTCTACCAAAACCAGGAAAACCGCCGGGGGATCCAGCATCGTATAGGTCTGCTGGATACACTCGGAAAACTCCTAAACTCCAAAACAGGCTGACGAAATTCATGCAGAGTGAGCACGGATTGTTGGAGAGGCAGTTCGGATTGCGGAAAGGGAGATTAACGGTGGATGCAATTTGGACAGTGATGGACATAGTCGAGAAGGCGTCAGAATTGGAGAAGAGGTCGATATTGCACCGTAATATCGATCAACGTCAAGAATGCCTCCTAGACTAAGGCTATCAATCATACCATCGTTTAGTTCCAGTTTGAATGATACCCTGATGCTCCCTCCCAATCAATTTATTTATTTATATAATGAAAATATATGTAATGGAGAAATGAAATATATCAGATCATTATATATGAAATAATGAAAATAAATTTACATGGATAAATAAGTTGATATTCTGCAATGAAAATAATAAAAATTTAACATATAATAAGATGCAGTTTCTTCATCTTCATTCATTATATGTTTCTTCAGCTAAAATATCCGGTGGATGTAACACTGAAATTTCAAGGTTATATTGAAATTACATATTTTTAGCTCGAATGGTACTTGATATTCTCTTTTTACAATAATGTACGGATGTAAATGTTAAGTGTGATGTATAACTAACAGGACTAATAATAAAATGGGAATCTCATATAATTGATTCTATGCACGACAAGAAATAACCTGTATAATAAATATATGTATATGACGTTATGTACTGCTTTCTTTGCTCCATGCGCTTAATTTTAATATCGATGAGTAACTTTGTTAATGCAATACAACATAAACACACATAGAAATTATTACCGGCCCAGCAATTCCCACCGAAATTTCAGCAGGTTGGTAAAAATCAGGAATTTTAATTAACTAGGTGTAAAGCTTCAAACAAATAAAACGTAAAAGTTAAAAATGTATAATAATAAATAAGTATGACAAATTAAAAACAATCTAGATTATAATTTTGTGTGATTCAACTTCCTTTAACCCATAATGATACTTATGCATAAACATTATGCATGTGCCATAGATTGATACTGTGCCCCATGCGATGTTATGTATATTTTAAGTAATGAATCGAAAAACCGACAAATTTAGGTTATTTGGACCCTTAACAATATTTTCAATGATAATACATTGTAAATATTGAACAAATATTGCAAAATTTAATTGCTGTGTTTAGTTAATCTGTAATTAAAGAGTAACGGAAATTATTTCCAATGATGTTATGCGGTTTTTGACATTGGACTACGTCTTTAATATCTTTACTGGGGCTCACATAAAAAAAAATCGAAATTCAAACATGTAACGAAAAATCCCAACCACGGACGCAACGATAGAGCACAAATCTAACACATTATAAATATATATGTCGTAATATAGTAACACAATACACTTGAGTCGCTTTTTACGCGGGGGATACGTGCCGCGTAAAAAAAATCGCGTAAATTTCAAAATCCGCGTAAAAAAACAGCGTAAATTCCGAAATCCACGTGAAAAAACCGCTTAAAAAATTGTGTAAAAAACCGCGTAAAAAGCGACTCCAGTGTATAACGATAAACCGCGTGAACTCCGAAATTCGCGTAAATTCCGAAATCCGCGTAAAAAAACCGAGTAAATTCCGAAATCCACGTAAAACAACCGTGTAAAAAAACGCGTAAAAAGCGACTCCAGTGTACATCATATATGACATACAGGTGGTAAATTCCACAGTAAAAACAATGGGAGTTTTTTTTTATCTGATCATTAACTCTGTTGTTTTCCATTCATCTGAGTTAATTTGTATGGATAATGATGATGACAGTGGACCACCCTCACTGCTCGACCTGATTAAGTCCAACAAGCTCCAATTGCACCACTGCATGAAGGGCCAAAAACGATTTGGACGAATCCGTTGGCAACATCGCCGACGCGCATCTACGGGACAAACGATATTTTCCCTCCAACAACAGGATCACACAACCGGCCAAAAAACAGGCCATCCAACAGAGGGACGCCCCAATGAGCGGGAAGAAGAGCCCTCCCCTCACGAAACGCCATAAACAGGGAGTCGGCAACTCCACTCCCTCCATCCACCTCACTTCAATCAGGTGCCCTACTGGATCCGCCCGCACCCAGCATATAATGCATTATATATAATATAATGGAATGAAAGTATAGAGAAAAATAAAGGAAAGATCTCACCCGATATGTTGCAAAGGAATTCATGACATCTCGATGACTTCGAAGAGCTTCCATAGATATGCTGCCGCTACTTCTTCAACTAGTGTCAAAAAACAGCACTCTCGCCGTTCCATCCTCACACAGCAGCGCAAACCTCCAAAAACCACTAAACACACACTAGCTGCTTCAACTAAAGGGATCTTAGCAGATAAAAAATGGACTGCATCCACTTCCATCACCAATCCCTCGCGGCACATCGGCTTCAGTTCGCCAGTACAGTCTGTAAGACGAAGCGCCAGCACCAACGCTGAAATCAGAACCGAAAACTCAAGTGACCGAAAACAAACGATAATTCCAGAACCGGGTTCTGGTCTATATAAAATGAACTGATCGTAGAGTCGAGAAAACACACCACATTTTTTTTACATCGTTGCCTGTAATTTGACCGTTCACTCACTTAAAAAAGTTGACAGTTATCTTACTCTGGTGTAATGAGCTAAACTGATTAGTGTAAGACACATGACGCCCCGTAACGTGGGTAGATCACCTTTTCGTGGTACGTTACGGGATGTAAGATCTACCACCAATTTCTAGTCCTGACTACTTCAAACTAGGGGAATAGGATTTTTCAGTAATCCAAGGAACACATCTTAGTCCTTGTTACTTTTCATGCCTTGTTGATAGTGACAAGACTCAGCTTTGCCCACCGAGGATGATCTTGAAACAAGGAAAAAACGAGTTAGTTAGTCTTCATCTATGTGATTCCTAATATTCTATTCGTTGATCTCTACACGCAAACCAAAAATCTATTACAATGAATGTTAGTTCCGTTTCATATCATCCTCTGTTCATGAACATCGCAACAAATGTTAGAAATTGACAATGCAGGCGATATAATGGTTTTTTGTCTTTTTTATTTCGTGTTCTATCTACGCTTTCGACTAGACCAGTAAGCTTGTAGAACGACGCACATTGTAGAACATTGTAGAACGACGCACACAGTTGCCTTGAATCTCTTCAGCAGAAAAAGCATACGAAGTCAAGTATGCGAGAAAATGAGCGCTTCATGTTTGCTTTTAGGTTATCCATATTCAGAAGCATGGAGAGAGCAGTGGAGAAAGCACAGGTCTGATAATCGCAACGTTCGTGGTTCGAGTCCAGCCGGCAGTCTGTTTCAATTTTTTTCGAAATAACTTATTTACCTCACTAATACACTCTACATTTTTCGGTCTCCAATTTTCTTGCATTGGACCGCAGCTAGGTATATCGCATCCTTGGTTCATGCGGTCTCCTCTGATGATGAATCCCACATAATTGTAAGCGAATCTTACATCCCCCGGTTGGGTGTAGTTTAAAGTGGTTAAGACTAGGGTTCTGATGCATGGTCATTATCGGTGTCATCCCTTAATTTTGTTGCTAAGGAATCCAACTGACAGAGGGGCGCGCCTTTGGAGGGTGTTTCAAGGGTATAAATAGCGGAACATTTCAATTAGAGTCGGATCCTTGCGATAAATGCAAGAATGACAACTGTAAAAAAAATTGAATACTTTTTCATTTCTTAATAGTGATGGAGTAATAAGACATGCACTAAACTAAGGACACGGGATAGACTACAATAGATCAAATTACTGGTCGCAGTGGTGTTAGGTCCCGAACAGAGGAAAAAAAAAGACACATGACCCTCCGGGCCTCGGATTAAACTGAATACTGGTTTTTTATAACAAAGGATACAAATGCGTAAGATAAACAAACGAATATGCTTGTTTGAACAAAACGGATATGGCATTGGATCGTTTGAATGAACGATGTTTAAATTGATTCGTAAATGGGTATATAAATTTGAGAAATTCGCGAACTTTATGATCTTGTAACTTACATTGATAGTTGAGCTCTTAGTGCTTCTAAGTCATTCATTTTTGCCTGTAATTCAGCAACTTTCATGACATTGTTATCTAGCAGATTTTGCAGATTCAAGTTTTCCTGGTGCAGTTTGTTATTTTCAGCACACATGCAAGCTTGCTGTAAACAATCAGATTGAAAATGCAATAATCTTAATTATGGTAATTTATTTTAATCATACTTTTTGATCACGATCTCCTAATAAAATTTTGATTGTTTGCAGTTCCTTGTAGGCATTTTCTAACTGGTTTTCTAAATAATTTATGTTGTCTGTTTGTTTAGTATTTACATGTTTCAGCATTATTTGACTAGCCTAAAATTTGAGTGTAATAAACATTATAGGAAATTAAAAATTGATACTACTATAAGTGAATTCTTCTTTACCTTTAATTCCGCAACTTTGTGTGAACTACATTCATCTGTTTCTGGCTTTTGATTATTTTCGAGGTTCTTCTGAAGTTCCTGTAGTTCTTTTTCAAGGGCCTTGAAGAAAAAGAATAACATGCATATTACATAGATACATTTCCATATAACATATAAAATACACAGGGTGCTTGGTTCCGGATTTTATATATTTTTAGGGTTTATAGGGCTTCCAAAGTTATGAAAAAATCTCCATGAAACATAGAGTTGGAAATGACTGCTAAGTGAGTTGTTCAACATTCTATGTTTTTCTCATAGGTAATTTTGGTTAGCTATATTTTTTCAATCCTAATGTGTTTTTCTGATTGAATTATACCAAATGAAAGATTGAAGTCTTATCTATCAAAGTTTGAAAAGAATTCGATTAAAGTTAATTAACATACATAACAATTGAAAAGAATGTTCAAATTAACAAAACAAAAACTAGACAAATTACGTTCATTTTAGCGCTTTTAAGTTGAAAATTTTCAGTACTGTTTATTTATTTGTTCTACAAAACATTATCCATGCAGTTCTCTAGATTTGAGCCTTAGAAGTAATCTTGTAAGATTTATGGTTTCTACAAAATTGTCGGTTTAATACACCCATGAGTATGCCATCTCTATCCAAGCAGCATTCACAATAAAAACAAACAAAATAAACTCACCTGGGCTGCAAAGTCAATGCCCGGGTAATAGAATGCAATTATGCAATTTTAAATTTTTTTTTTTTTTTTTTTTGTCTTTATTTTAGAGATTTTTAGCCTGAGGCTAGTTCATCTCTTAGCAATTTTAAACCAGCCATACGACGAATCACTCGTACCAGAACTGCAGCGCTCTCTTGCCCGCTTTACACCCTTCCTGTGTGGACCGAAAGTCGTTCGCGCATCAGGAAAGGTTTCGAATGGCAACGCCGGGTGAGCAACCAAAATATATCTGTTATTTCCGCTATTGCTAAGCTAAGCAATTTGATGTCACTCCAGCCGTCTCACTTTATTAATAAATTACACTTTCTTACGCACACAATGTACCGTTCCGATTCAAATTTCGGACGATTCAAATTTCGGACGATTCAAATTTCGGACACTTTCATTTTTAATTAAATATTACATCCAGTTAGAAACAAAGTAATAATGTTAGATGATCGTGGAGGGCACTAGTCAAAAAAATTTAAAATTTACAAGACATGTGGATCATATTCGACCGAGATAATCAACTTTTAAAAGTGTCCGAAATTCGAGTTTAAGTGTCCGAAATTTGAATCGGCACGGTATTAAAAACCAAACTGTATAAAAAGGAAGTATAATTCAATAAACAGGATCAATTATTCTGAAGCTCGAACCTGCTGGGTTACCCCAGTTAGCTTATGGACCCTTCAGACTGTTAACTGGATCCCTCCAGCTAGGCTTAGCGTCGAGTTGAGAATGCAAAGTGCGCGTGCATATATAGGCATCAAATGCTAAAATGCCAAATGGCAACCGTGACCGTTTAGTAGTAAACCGCATTTTCGGAGTGTTTGAAAACAAGAGAAAATCAAAAGTGAGGCGTAAAAAAATAGAAGCTGTAAAAGCGATCCTACGTGAAATAAGAAAAAGGGTAGAAGCTGAACGTCAATTTAGCACATCTAGACAGCACGCAATATTGTGTGTTCATGAATTTCATAAGTCATGAATTATATCACGCCGAACAAATATTATAAACCAGTACAATTTTAAAACAATAAGTAACTATGCAAGAAGCTATAATTTTAATGACAATTACTGCGATTTTACATTTAACATTCATGTGCTATTGGTGGTTTGCAGTGGTAAACTATTATACAAACGAAGAACGTAACCAATAAGAAGAAAAATTGGCAACAAACGGTACATTTGGAGAAAAAAAACCACGGATTTTACAACAAAATAAAAGATTGTCGCCGCGTATTTCGCCTACAGCGTTTTAGTTAAATATGAGCGGCTGAGAACAAATAATATTATTACGAGCGCAATATTACTATCATCGATACAATCGCAAAAGTAAACAGTTATGGAATGGCAGCACAATTAATCATCATTAAAAAAAGCGAAATGAGCAATAAAAAAAATCTCAAATTGGCCACACAGGGGTGCACCAATAAACAAAAAAAAAATTTGCAATAGAAATGAATAAAAAGGCAATGTACTAATAAAAAGCTTCTTTTATTAATTTGAATGTGAGCGGTGAAAATGACAAAAAGGGCAACAATAAATAGAATACGCTCAATTCAATAAGGATGAATCTCCACTAAATTAGGAAATTTGAGCACTAAATAACTCACCTACGTCACCTGCAGTTGAACATATTTTCCCATAAAAGTGGCAAAATGAGCAATGTCATATTGAATAACCGCGATTAATTAATCTAAAATGTCCCACAAAAATAAAGAAAAGAAAATAATTCATGCAGGAAAGTAAAACTGAGCAATTAAAAACGAACACTGGGCAATTTCAAATAAAAAATCCAATGATATTCAGGAAATATTCTTTTAAATTGAAAGTTAATGAGCCAATAACCTAGATCAATTTTTATATGGTATTTTCAAGACAGCGATAACACTAGTTTACAGCATTTTTGAACTCGGTAAGGTGATGATCATTTCCAATGCAAAATCCTACGCTGAATTCAATGCCGTGGTCAGAAAAAAATAAAGTAGAGCCATTTTTGAGATATACAAACATTTTGATTTTTTGAATTTTGGACAAAAGTACGATTACTAAAATGTCAATATCTTTGAAACTAGTGCACAAATTTTAAGTCTTTTTTTATGAAAGTGAAGCTTAATAAATTTGCTATCACTAGAATATTATGTCTTAATTAAAATTTAATTTTGAAGTCATTTAAAAATTTACAGCATTTTTTTTTTTTTTCCTGCGAATTTTCCATAAAAATCTTGTTTTAATCAACATTTTTAATGGGATAAAAAGATTCAAAAAATCATTCCATAATTTATTCTTAAAGTCCATTCAAAACCGGAGAAAATGAGCCTTTAATGGACGAAATCGGTTGGAAATTGTCGAAGTTATGAGCATTTTTGTAAAACACTTAAAAATGTTGCTGAAATACAACAACTTTAGAGTTCCTTTTCTAGGTGTCGTTGTAAGCATCCAAATCGCATGTAAAGTTTTCATGGGAGATTCTTTTCTCTACATATCAATTTGATTAAGGCATATCAGGATTTAAAACCGAGTTGATACAAAAGAAATTTATTTGGGTTTTATTAAAAATGATTGAGAATCGAATGACTTTGTCTTCGGTGTTTTGAACTTGTTTCTCGAATCAGAAACCAACAATAGTCACCCATCATTGCTTCATCCCAAAACCCTTGGTAACGACGTTCCATCATCTTCAATTGTTGGTGAAAACGTTCGCCGTGCTCATCACTCTCGTCATCAAGATTTTCCGGGAAAAATCCATGTGAGAATGTAGGAAATGTATCTTCAAAGACATATTCACACCTGTGTTCAGTGAAATAAAAGGATTTGAAATTAATTATATGTAACAAACACAATATTTTTGATTTATACCTATTTTCTCATAATTTTTGAGCAATTCATCGACGGCTTCCTCATAATCTGGGCTTCTGAAATTTCCTAAAAAGGTTGTGACAACACGCTGGAACGATTTCCACGTTTTTTTTTTCTCTCCTTTATCAGAGAGATTTTTAGCCTAAGGCTAGTTCATCTCTTTTAAAAATTACAAAAAAGAATTGGGACCTCAAAAGGAGGATCCCAATCTTGGCAAGTGGGCATTTAGCTTAATTATATAAAATATTGTAAAAACACTACCAAAAGGGCCAACGAATTCAAAAGCACAAACAGAAAACACTCAAATGTTGTAAAAAAGATTCGCCTCCTTCAGGAAGGCGATGAGGGCGTCTGCTGCCGGGGACTCGTCGCCAAGCAGACTTCGTATGCTGGTTCCCTCCAGACCGAAGGCAACCCGAAGGTCCTCGAGCTCCACACAGTTGATGAGGATGTGTTCTACGGAGGCTGGCACTCCACAGGTTTCGCAGGTTCTCCGGAACGGTGTTCCTCCGAAATTATGGGAGGCCCTGCTATGCCCGGTGCGCAGCCTGGACACCACTTGCTGCTCCTTGAGGCTCGGTCGATCCTTCCAGGGATCGGTGGTCGCCTTGATTTTTCGTAGTTGGTGAGTTCGATTGTTCCTCCACTCGTTGTCCCACGCTCTCCAAACCGTCCGTTTGATCCATTTCTTGATGTCCTGGAACGGAACATTGTCAGAGAACCTGGGTCCGATGGGGCCTGAGCCGGCGAGGTGGTCGGCGATCACGTTCCCCTGGATGCCCGGGTACCCACATGTATACGGTGTTGGGCGGCGCATGCGTTACCGTCCCTTGTATCCACGGATGCTTTGGTGCGCTTTGTGAGTCGGTAACGATGAGGATCGGCCGATTGGCCGGAAGGGTGGTTGCGTGAAAGACGGCCGCTGCCTCAGCGGAAAACACCGAGCACTGGGCCGGAAGTGAATTGCTGACGACCAAACTATCTCCTGAAACCCCCATTCCCACTCCGCTGCTGGAGAGCGAGCCATCAGTGTACCTGATTTCGTGATCTTGATAGTGCGCCCCGAGAGTTTCGACGACTGTCCGGTGCAAAGCCAGTGAGTTGTCTCCTGCCCTGAAGCGGTCCTTGATTCGGCTGTCGATTCTGATCTGATGTGATTCCCAACTTTTGTCTCCGTGCCAGTGGACCCTGGCCACTGGAGGGAGATCTACGTCGGCGACCGTGCGGAGGAGTCGGTTCGCCTCGTCGAGGAGAAAGATCCTGCTGTTTCCCGACGTTTTAGCGAGGAAGGCAGTGGCTTTGGTAGCGGTAGCTGCGGTGTAGACGAGCCGAAAAGGCAGAATACCGGCTTCAACGCACGCGTCGTCGGCCGGGGTGGAGGGCAGGAGACCGGAGACTGTTCTTACGTATCCGTTGTAGACCGGTTCCAAGATTTGGACGGCTTTCTCGGCGGCAAGGCACGTTAGTTCTACGCCGTACAAAAGGCGACTGTCGATGATGGCTCGGGCTACTCGGAAGCGGATTTCACGGTTGTTGG